GTAGGTGGTTGTACTGTATGCGGCTCGGTAAATTGCCTTATATCTGTCGCGAAACCTTTCCATCTCAGCCTGTGATGGAGTTGGAAGATGAAGAGAGGTGAAGAAATCCCGGACCTTCTCGATGTCTTTCTCTTCGTAGGTAATTTTGTTTGCGAGATAATCATCGTAGGCGCGATTAAGTGCACGTTGGTACACGAGGTTGAGCAGTTCGATGGGAAATTGTTTTAATCCGGGCCACATACTTTGCAGTTTTGCCATGGCCTGTATCGAGGAATGAGTATGGTCGAATAGAGTACCGTCTAGGTCAAAGATGACCGCATCGAAATGGCGATCATTCTGCGTGGGTTTGGCGGACATGGCCTGTGTTCTTTGCGAAGTTGGAGCAAACTGAGCCGTGTTGGATGGGCAAGAAAGAAAGCTGAGAAACAAACGTTGCAAGAGAGGAAGACACAAGAAAGCCCAAGCCATTACCTCCTTTCCTTCTAACTTTTTCCTTCGCAGTTGCCGGCTGGAGGCGCACCTTTTCGGTACGTAGGCTTACATGCGTGCGCTATGCGGCAGGAAATCCACGCTCTACAGAAATGTTTCGATTAACCTCAACACCGTCCAAGTTGCATATTTGTGGTCTAACTAATGATGCTGTTAGAACTTCACTTCATCCGTTGCATCTCTTACCCTTTTCATCGCCTTTCTAAGACCCTTTTGATCCTCAGCACCCACCGCTACGTCGGCCAAACTGACGCCGGTGTCTGGGTCCTCGTACCAACTGATGATGCACATCTGCCCACGCAAAAACTCCTCCTTGAACTCACTGATAAACTCCGCTCGTGTCTTCTTTAAACTGATGGAGAATGAGGACCCACTCCAGAAGTCACGGCTGGTAAAGTGACCTTGAAGGAGAGGGAGGCACAGTGACCCGGATGTCCTAATGTTGAGATCGACAACGTGGAAACGGGAGAAATCTTCTTCCTGTGAACCATTTGCTGTGTGGCCGTTTGGCTTTTGTCCGTTTGTCGTTGGTGCCGTTTCTAGAACGTCAGCCCCAGCGGGTCCAACGTATCCATGGCTCCTCAGCCAAACGGCGATCTTCTTGACCAAAGGGCCAAACTTTCTCTTCAACTCCTCCTGTCGAGCATAGTTGATGGTGCTACCAATCCACGCCTTGTCGTCATCAATCATTTGCTCCGAAGCCGCAAGAAAGATGGGGTCGCTTCCGTCGTCAGTGACAAAAAACGTCAGACCGTAATCTCCAATGGGGTTCTCAACCAGGTCCGAGAGTACAAGCGCTGCAGGGCGCAGGTGGACGTTGGAATCTGTGACTGAAGATAGTAGTTTCCGAAGGATGCCGTCCCTGAAATCCTGCACGACCTTTTCTCGGTCTTCCTCGGTGTTGATGATGTAGGTGCCCGCCCCACCAAACGTCTGTTGGTTCTTGAGAACGAACGGGAGGGGATGCGCCTTGAGGTCGGCAAAGATCTTTTCGCTCTGCTTCTCAAACCATTCGCCTCGAGCACCTGAGCAGGCTTGAGGAATGACGAACTCAGCCGTATCGCCTTTGCACAGCGTGCAGCACAGTCGCGCCTCTCCTGCAAGTCCATCAAGCTCCACAATCTTCGACTTCGGCGTCGGCAGCCCAGACTCGGCCAGGGCGGCTTTTGAGTTTAAAAACCAGTGCGTCTCGGGCGGGAAGATCAGGTCATAGTCTTCCAAGCCATCCAGAACCAATTTGTATGCGATCAAGTCGATACCAGCGTCCTTGATGGGAATCTTGGATGGGCCCGGGCAGAAGATGAGATCTGGTTGTTGGTTCTTGGCGAGAACTGAAATGGTCTTCTGGGCTTCATCCTTATCATGGGTCTTTTGCTTCTCCGTCTCATCGATGTTGAAGAGGACAACAGCCGTGTCGCCGCTGATGAAGGCGTCGCGCTGCGGTATCAATGATAGATACTTGACGGCCAGCTCCTGCTTCTGCTTCATGTCCCCTGCGTGGCCGTTGGCTGATCCCTCTTCTGGGATTGAGTTGAAAGGGCTGTCCTGATACAAATATTTCGCGTTTCGAGGAACGTTGGCGCTAAGCTCAGAGGCGGAGTTGATTCCGCAGAGAACTTGCGCTATCTTTTTGTTCGCATTCTTTGGGCTCGCTCGCCGGTAGAGGTCGGCGAGCGTAGTGTCAAGTGTTATTGTCGGCAGATTCGTCATTTTCGTGTTGTTCTTCTCGAGAGTATGTGACTGAGGGGTTGTTCACAAAGGAGAACCGCGACTCTAATAAGTTCAGGTGTTGTTCAAGTGAAGTCAACCCGCAGGCGCATGTGGATCTCACTTGATCACGCAGGCAAGGGGTAATTAACGCGTACGCGACAGCACCTCAAGCTCCCTGATGTGGCTGCGCTACGATCGACGTGACCTCTATCTCGCAGAATGATTGGTCACTAGCGCAGATCCTCCTAACATTATGGACCAGTTCATCCGTCGGGAAGATGACGCCTCAGCGCCCAGGAGCGCAAATCCTGTTCGACATATTGATGTCATTGTTCGAAGCCACGTTCTCAGGGGGCGGGTCGGGATTCGCTTCGTTTACAGGGCAGACAGGGGCACAAGAACTGGTCGTGCGTTGCAGCACCAACATGGGTCACATGTAAGACGTTTGACGTCGGCTTCAGAGCGTTAGAGTCGCTCGTCTTCTCCAAGGCAAAATGGAACATTCTTGGGTGAACATCGGCTGTCAATGTTACCTGGATTGCGGCTGCTGGGCTAAGCTAGATCCTGCCCGCCGATTTTGCAGCCCTATTAAGGCGGCTCTTGGCAAAGTTGCATCATTAGCCCAGCCAATACAGTCCGTTGCGTTGACAGCGTCCGCCCCTAACTTTGACCTGGAAGGAAAATTTTCCACTAGCCTAAACCCCCCCTAAAGCCCCCTGAAATTCACACCTTTATAACTCTATACGTACGTAATATAAATAGCTAAAAATTTGATCGATTAATCTACTAATTAAAAGCTATTTGATAATATATTTTTATTTATATATACTATATACGTATAGAGTTTTAAAAATATAAAGTTTAAAGGGTTTTAAAAGGGGTTTAAACTAGTAGATACTAAATATAACGCTCAAAAGAAAAAGCGAAACCCTTTATATATAGTATCTATAGTATCTACTCTAAAAACCCCTTAAATTAAATTAAACTTTATACTTTTATAACTTTATACGTATATAGTATACGTAAATAAAGAATATATTATTAAATAGCTTTTAATTGGTAAATTAATTAATTAAATTTTTAACTATACGTATTACGTACATATAGAGTTATAAAAGTGTGAAGTTTAGGATAATTTAGTAGTTTTTAGTAAAAAGCCCCTTTTTTTTTTACCTTTTTTAGGCCGAAAATTAGGGGGCGGACGCTGTTAACGCAACGGACTGTAGCGCAAACCCCGGTCGCAGAGTAGCCGCGGCATGCCAGGCTCTGGTCAGCGATACGTCATCCCGTGAGACAGCGCATCGTGGGAACATTTTTTGTTTTGACATTGAACGGGTTTAGCTTACCTTATGCTTGGTTTGAGGAGCGTTTTCTCCGGCGACGGGCCGTGGTTAGCTTTCATAGGATGTCTTTCGTTATTCCAAAACCAAGCGCTTTCGCTGATTACTGAACCCTTACAGCCCCTCTCAAGGTGTGAAGAGATCCAACAAAGCGTCCTCCACGAGCTACGTACTCAACGACGTATCGTGGGCTTAAGACTGGTAATCTCAGTAACTAGTTAGTTCACCAGGCACTACAGAATGATAATTCTCTCGCGAATGCTACAGAATTCCAGATTGCGTGTTCTGTATGTGCACAGTCTACATGCTGATCATGGGACCAACAGGTTGGCAAAATTTGCATCGAAGAACTTGCCCCTACGCGCCGTCCAACAACCTAGCCTTAATTAAAACCTGAATGTCATGTTGGAGGCCTTGGAAACAACGCGTGTGTTTGGCAGTTATCGAACACAATTGGGCCTCCCATTTCTAAAGTAGCCCGGTGCCTAGACAAAGGCGACTCCGTCTAAAATGATCCAAACTCATCACGTGCGGTACTCAGACCCAGATTCAATTCCTGCTCATCGTCCAATGCAACTATCCGCTGTTTTTGTAGCGCTTAATGGAGGAGAGGGTGAGTGCTGATGGTCACGCCGGAGATTCGGGTTTGTGAGCATGTAGTTCCTTACGGAACCGGTCGAAACTCGTATTCTGAACCTGTCGACTGTAAGAATCAATAAAACAATGACAACGTATGACAAAAATTCTGTGTTGACGTTTGCACTGCCTCAGACGCGTAAGTAATCGCTAGACGATAGTTATCAATAGTGGGTCAACCCCCAGTCTTTCTCTTCGCTTTTTCAAGCTAAGAAGATGTCAGTGAGTGTATGTAACTTATCACTCCACATCCTAAGGAGTTATGCTTGACCCCGCGTCAGCAGCTAGCATGGACTTCTCCTCTTCTATGGTACGGGCAAGATATCGTACCGCAGTCAACCTCAGAACAGGCCGCGATAACTGTAGAAGGGTGTGCCCATGAAGACACTAGAGCATCGGCTGATGATCATGCGTACGCGGCGCTTGTAGTAGTCAGCATGTCGCGGACAATAGCTGCTGCTATCATGGAAATCCGGTATCTTGTCATATTCATTATTGCATACTAAAGCAAGCAGCTCTTGGCGACATAGACGTATAAAAATGCCATATGCGTGCTACTCGATCCTCACCATTCAAAGCAACCTAAACATCAATATCCTCTCAAGTTGTCGAGTCAGTCACGCATACGTCTATCAACGTGAACCCCTGAAAGCAACGACTTGCTCTAACGACCATGGCGCTCAATGTAACGAATTCAACCTTGATGAGAGGCGTCGCTTGGTTCGGCCAGCCTTATAATGTCTCTGTCATCAACTTACCCGTACCAGCTATCGTCAACCAAACAGATGTTGTGGTCCGGATCACCTCTTCCGCCATCTGCTCCACATGTATCACGGATTTGGTGGCTCTCCCGAAGTTCCCTATGGTTTTGGGTACGAAGCCGTGGGCTACATCTCGAGCATCAGAGATTCTGTGACATCCCTCTCCGTTGGCGACTATGTTATTATCCCAGATAACGCTGACGATGGCCACTGGGGTCCTTCTCACCCTCTATCTTTCGGCGTTGGTAATCCAAACTACGGCGGCCTGCAAGGTAAGTTTGCATCCGCATATCATTCTTACTAGGAGTACCAGAAATGTCATCTTTTCGAAAGAGTTGCTAAAGCTGACCATACTTGCCTTCTGTCAAGCTGAATACGCCAGAGTCCCTTTTGCCGACCAGTCAGTCATTCCCATTCCGATCAACTCCACCAACACCACCGCCGAGCTCGACTATCTCATGATAGCGGATGTGTTCACAACCGGATGGCATGCACTCACATACTCGGGATTCCAAGCTGGAGATACAGTTGCGATCTTCGGCGCCGGCCCCGTTGGCCTCTTGTCTGCTTACTCTGCCAAGCTGCGCGGTGCTTCCAGAGTGTATGTTCTTGATCGCATCGCTAGCCGACTTGAGCAAGCCCAGTCTATCGGTGCCATCCCCATCGATTTCTCTCAGGAGGATCCTGTCGGGGCTATCCTTAGACAAGAACCTGATGGCGTCAATCGCAGCGTTGACTGTGTAGGATTTGAATCTGTGAATGCTACCGGAGGATCCCACAATGGGATTGTGCTAGAAAACATGATCGCAGTCCCCACCACCTACGGAGGAATGGAAATTGGCGGCGTCTATAACGGCGGGGCGAACAGCACGGAAGGGACGCCTTACGCAGGAACCTTGCCTGCGGATATTCCCGTACCGGTCGCCTCACTGTGGAGGAAGGGCTTGTCCGTCGGAAGCGGTATCGTTCTGCCCTTGATTCAGGCACCGCCTTTACTCGACTTGATCGCGTCTGGGGTCGCCAGGCCTAGCTTCGTTGTCACGGCTGAAATTGGAATTGAGGAGGCCCCGGAGTACTACCGTCGGTATAGTGATCACTTGGAGAACAAAGTTGTCATTCGGTTCTCTTAGATGGATTCGCTGTAGTGATTATGATTGGATGGGACCGTCTTAGGGGAACTGGGCTGCCGTCTGTCACAAGAACTCTCAAGTAGCCAATGCACACATACTTAACGATTCAGGATGAAATAGTCCACTCTACGGCTATCTGCCCACAGATTAGTCTTCTTGCCAATTACGCCAAGCGGGATGTTGAATTCCTTGCCGTCTATTTCAAAATGGTGCAAGGTCAGTGAAGTAAGTGTTCACTTATGACTTTGCATTCTACTACCCGAGATAGGCCGAACGGTGTCATCATGCGACATTAGTTCAATGAGGGGCCCTCTATCAGCTATCCTGTGAACTGCGGCACAGCACTTAGGTTCGCCACGAGCTGATGTGGCCTGCACCAACAGACCAACTAACCAACAGAATGAGGAAGGTGATAACTTCAAAGACTTTAGCTTCAATTATGAATGGTACCATCCTCGAGTCTGGACCTTCAGCCCAGAGGACTACTTAATTGGCCGCCAAGCCGGTCATTCTTCTCAATTCTCTCGAGAAGCAATCACCTCAAACTCTCAACTTTCATCCGCATCCACAGAAAGCCCTACCTCAAGCTACCATGGCCAGCAAGGACGTTCCACCTCCTCCCAACGTTGTAGAAACTGCTACGCAACCGATCAATCGACCCCCACCTTTTCTATTGCCTTCGGAAGTAACGGCACATTCTACCAACCTTATCCCAGGATCGGCACCATTCACCTTCGCTTACCCTGAGCCCTCGGCATTGTGGCTTAGTCGCGATATCCAACATGAAGACTGGGCTGCTTTTACTTCAAACCTCGTCAGAGCTGGGCGTTCTGGTACCACCGGCGGCACACCCCTTCCAGCGGATTCGAAAGGACAGCAGCCAATGTCGGCTGCGCAAGGCCCTGAATACGAGGAAGAAATCAGCCGCATGCGCGAAGAGCTCGCTCGATGGAACGAAACATTCTTCAAGCCTCGAGGAATGAAAGTCGTCTCAGGCGAGGATTATCGTGCAGAGCCACGGCCATCGTCCTCCCAGGCCCAAAGTGGCAGCTCCGGAGGCGGTGCCGACAAGAGGTGGAACTTTGGGCCGGACAAATTCGGCTTCCAAATCGGAGGTGCCCTGTTGGGAATCGACATGTCTAAACCCGCCAAGGCAAGTGAACCTCAACTGAGGTAGATTGCGTCCTACGTCCAAATACACACGATAGGCATAGGTACCTAGTACTGACATACCAGAGCTGGTAATCACGAGGAGGGAAATGTTAAGTCCGGTTCATTTTACAGATACAGTCCACTCAAAGGCGCAGTTAAGTCTACTTGTCAACTATAACATACGCTTGGCTACTGACTAAAGCTTGTCATGCTTCTCTGTGACCTTTACTGATCAAATGAGATACTCTTCAAACGTTTGACATGAAAACAGTCAGAATTGCGCCATAAGCAGTTGTCACCATCATCATCTCCACGCTGCTGACTTTTAAAAACGCAGATACCAGACATGAGAATGTCACAACACATGCTGCTATGACTCCCAACTGCACTTCCTTACTTTGATATGAAAGTGTCGCCAAGGGAATCACCACAAAAATTCCGACCAGCCCTGTCATGAAGAATCGAGAAATCACCTCGGCAATCAGGACGGTATTTTGGTAGGCCTTCTTGCCTGACATGCCAGTGTTCTCGACGCTTTCTATATCCTTTGTCCACCATCTGGAGAGTTGTCGGTACCGTAAGTAATATAAGCACCGCCGCACGAAGCGTTCCATGGGGTCTTTTCGCAGGCGCTGCCCTAGGTCTACTCTAAGAAGGCGGGTGTGGTACATTTGGTGGGCCGTTCGATCTTTTCTTAGGCTTGCGTGTTGTTCATCATCGATCAAAGATGACGTTTCCATGCCCATGATGTCATGAAATGCAACAAGTGCCTCATCTGTATTTCCATGAGCCTCTGGAAATGAGGCCAGTTCCTCGTAGAGTGGCTGCAAAGTCGCACTTACCATATTGCCTCAGCAAGTCGCGAAGCTTAGTGACCAGTTCTTGGTTTATGATCTTGGTTGGTTCTGGTGCTAGTGACTCGCAGCTCCATCTGGAATCTATGCCAAGACGTGCGCGTGAGGGCGGAACTTCGGCTAGACTCTTTCCTGCCTGGTAAACTAGACGATTGAGTTCAGATATCTCACCTTCGAGGAATCGAAGGTTCAGTAAGTGAATCGTTCTGAAGCGGCTGAATCCATACAGTTTGACATCTTCATCTGCGGTGCTGCTTTCCCAGTGAGCGCGGAACCGCTCTTGAAGAGCGTCGGTATCCAATTCCTCCATTCGTATTACGGGCTGCACCCAGGAAGAATTTACGAGATAAGAACACGACTGCAGTTGGAAAATTCAGTATCCAAGGCAACGATAGATATATGTGGCGCTGCCAGTCTGCCTTGCCTTGAATTCTGCCTAACTACCCCGCGGTCCGGGTTCATATGCAGAGAAACACTATTCGACGAATGAAATGTAGCCGACACCAAACGATAAGGCTTCCATGCCCAATTCGAACCGGTCGTCACCGATTGTTGAGTACGGCTGCTCACTCACCACTTGTTATCAAAAGCACTACCATCCACGTAGTTCACCATTTCGGTCACCCAGCCCAGCGTCTCCCGCCCTTCGCCAAATTTCATACCCTTGCTCATGACCTTCCTGTAGTTTTCCCCGGGGTTCACTTTACCTAGAACGTATGGTCTCCGAGTCTCTACTCGATCTGGAACTGGTATGCTCCGGCCAACAAGAGCTTCCATTCCTTGCCATGCAAAGGTTACGGCTTCCTTTGCACCACCAGGTATACCAGCATCATCCAACATGAATATCTTGACTCCGGGCAGGTGTTCTTTCATGTAATCTGTGATGTTGGGATTGTACGCCCCTCCACCACACATAAATACCTCGTCAACCTGCTTCCCCTCAGGGCCATACCGCCGCCAATGGTCCACAATCGCCCGAGAAGTGATTCTAGTGACAGTAGCAACCACATCATCGGCAGACAGTCCACGAGCCTCTGCGTCGCGTATAAGGTCATCTGCCAGGGTGTCGCGGAACACTTCGCGTCCCGTAGTCTTCGGCGGGTCCCACGAAAAGTAAGGAACATCTCTGATGAACTTGTCAACGAGGCCCTGACACACTGTTCCGCGCTTGCCCATCACTCCATCCTTGTCATATTCCATTCTACCATTCGTATAGTGCCTCACAACCGCATCAATGAGTGCGTTGCCCGGACCGGTATCAAAGTCGTATGCATGATCAGGCCCCTCAGGTGGAATGAAGCACACATTCGCAATACCGCCAATATTTTGGCATGCGCGAAGCTTTCCGGGATGATGCAGCAATAGTGCGTCAAAGAAGGCAATGAGGGGGGCGCCCTGACGCCCAGCAGATTGATCCGATACACGGAAGTCAGTCACGGTGGTGATTCCAGTGCGTGAGGCAATGATGGTGCCCTCTGCCATTGTGAGGGCAGACTTTGGAACGCCCTCTTCCGGCATAGAAGCAAGCCAGATTGTTTGTCCATGAGATCCGATCGCGTCGATGGACTTAATGTCAACTTCGCTATCGTCACAGAATTTCTTGGCAGCCGCTGCGAAAACCTCCCCTAGAAGGACGTTGACTTCTGACAGTTCTGACGCCGAGGTTCTGTCGTGTTTGATGATGTTGAGGACTCGCTTCTTGATTTTGAGATCCATGGGGATTTCCCCATATTTGAGAAGGGAAAAGTGCATCGGCGATTCTGGTGTTTCTTGTCGAAACTGACAAAGAGCGCAGTCGATGCCATCCTAAAAGCTTTTTAGCTTTAGACTAGACATCGAGATCAAACATCTTAGACGACTTGATGTTCTATAGATCATGTTTCACGTACCATCGATGTGCCGCTATTAATCCCCAAGACTTTCAAGTTCAGCGGCTGACCCCTTGAAGGGCCATTCGTGATCTTGTTTTCGGCTGACATGTTAAATCGTCAAAACGATATTCAGGAGCTTGTAAAGATGGTCAACGACTCAATTAGCTACAGCAGACAAAGAAGCTTCGCTCGAAACCTTGACTTCGACAGTATTGGCTTGGTCCTTATGTATTGCTTCCCGATGGCCGTCAGCGCCCAAAATCAGGCTGATGCGGGGTCAGCCTGTACACATCAATGCTAACTAAGGCTCGACTTGACGTAAGGGCCTTCCCACGCTGCAGCTGTACATCACGGCTCGGTGGAGAAATGGGGAAGCGGCTACACGGCTAAGCGGCTAAGCGTCTACATGGGGTCCTTCGGCTACATGGTTAAGCGGAACTCCCACAGTAATCACTTGGCAATGCACGCTTCTCAATCCACTAGGCACGCCCGACAATGGGCCCGTGGTTGTAGAATCCGGGTTTAATTGCGGGGGGTTCTTTAGGTAGGTTTAGAGAAACGTCGGTACTTGAACAAACAGAGGACTTCGTTGCCCACGCCTAAAGCCGACTGCAACGGAAGAACAAGTATCTTTGGCTTCTCCCACGTTCTCATCGAAACTTCTATCTAAACCACCACTCGAGGTGTGCAATCGCAATCATTTCGCACAGCTGCAGTCATAGATCATAGATTGGGCGCCTTTGAGCCACATCGTTAATGATTTGCGACGTACATCATGAACAATACATTTATCACCAACATGAACTACACCACCTGGTGGAAGCGCCTTTCGGCCAACCAGCTGAACATCGCTATTCAAGCCTTCTCGCTCATCAGCATATTCTTCGAGGGTTATGACCAAGGCGTCATGGGAGGCGTCAATGCCTCGCCTCGATATGTTGAAGAGGTCGGAATCGGAATGGCTGATGGCACTGTCACAGATACTGTCCATCAAGGAGGCATCGTTTCAGTTTATTATCTCGGCTGCATTTTCGGATGCTTCGTTGGTGGGTGGGCGGCAGATCGAATTGGCCGCATCAATGGGTATTCCATCCCATGTATTCTGCTGTCTCCTACATGTGCACGCTAACGTCTGTCGAGTCTTTTCATAGGATGCACATTCTCTCTTATTGGAGGAGCTCTTCAAGCCGCAACGCAATCCAGCGACTTCATCATCGTTGCCCGCGTCATCACAGGTATCGGAACGGGGGCTCTAACTGGTATTACACCAGTAATGGTTGCGGAAACATCGACAGCGGAACATCGTGGAGGCTTCCTCGGTTACGTCTTTATTGCAAATTACCTCGGTATCTCCGTTGCGTACTGGTTGTCATTCGGCCTTGCTTTCGTTGATGGGGGAAACTCTGACGTCCGATGGCGTTTCCTTCTGGCCTTCCAGTGCTTCCCCGCCCTGCTCCTCTTCCTCGGTATCAAGATGTTGCCTGATACCCCTCGGTATCTTGCATCGGCTGGCAGATTTGACGACGCTCGTGAAGTAATTGAGCATGTTCGTGGAGGATTCGGCCCTGACGTTGAAAGAGAGTACCTTGAGATCAAAGCCATCGCCGAAGAAAGTACAAAATCTTCACCTATTGAGTTTGTGAAGATACTTTCAGGAAACGGCTCAAAGCCTGGATTCAATCTAGGCCAGCGCGCCTGGCTTTGCCTGCTTCTGCAGATCATGGCATCTTGGACCGGAATCACGGCCGTGACGGCGTACTCGCCGGTTCTACTGTCACAAGCCGGATACACCGAGTTAACACAAAACGGTCTCGCCGGTGGCCTGAACACGGTTGGCATCGTCGGGACCATAATCAGCGCCCAGATCGTCGATCGCCTCGGACGGAGAAAGTGCTTAATGGGCGGTGCCTTCTGCCTCTTCACAGTCAATCTCATTGCAGGGTCTCTGTACGAAGGGTCTCGTTCAAACCCTGACAAAGCTGCACAGTTTGCTCCTGCCGCTGTAGCCATGCTATTTCTGTTCAATCTTTCATATGCCGCCACGTGGGGGATAGTGGTGTTCCTTATCCCAACAGAGGTTTGGTCTTCTGATCTGCGTGCACAAGGTAATGGGTTCGGGATCACTGGATGGGCCATTGGAGTCGACATGACAACTCTGGTGAATCCCATCATGTTCTACGTCTTGGAAAACCGCACCTACTTCCTGTTTGCCGGCTTGAATCTTGTCTGGATGCCCATTGTCTATTTGCGTAAGAGAACCCCCCCACCGACATAATGCCTGATATTGGCCGGATACTGACCTACTTTAGTCTACCCCGAAACCTCCGGCCGTTCACTCGAGTCGATAGATGCCCTCTTTGCTGCGAACAGTGTGTTCACTTGGAATATGGAGCGTAATTACAAGGCCCACAGCGATGTTCTCGCTAACCGCGGACATGGCAAAGAGGGGAATGTCTTCGCCGATGCTAGGAACGTTGAAGATGCGGACTTCAAGCCCTCAGGTCAACACGTATCGCACAAAACTAATGCGTGAGGAAGCACATGCGGATGAGAGCCATGTGTTTGTTCCTTGGGAATTGGGCCACTTCGGCGGTGTGCTTACATATCACTTGATGGTTCGAGACAGTAAGGTATCATCATGTGAAGTCATGGAGTAGATCTACTGGCTAAGATGCTTTTTCCATGACTGTCATTAGTGTTTGACTTTCCTATTATTTTTATCTTCTCTACCATGCCAGATCTGAGATCCACCTAGATGCCAAATCCAAATCAAGTGTCTGTCTTTTCGCTTGTTATTTCACATATTGATTTCAGCTTTTAACTTTGGTCGTCGAAGTACGGAAACTGACTCTGATACATGTTCAGACTCCAGTCCCAGTCACTTAACAGGTCGTCAGGGATCTGAAATAGTGGTGACATCTCAGAACTATCTGGCAGTCCAATGATCGTCGTTTCTGTGTTAGTGTCTGCAGGCATCGCTTCCGTAAAACCGTCCGCAGCCGAGTTGTTTCTTTGCCCAGAAGTTCTCGCTGCGATATGTTGCCGCGACAACATGTAATCGTCGATGGTATCAACCTGTTTTCGGAGCTTTTGACCCGCACCTGCCCGTTGTTGCAGGAATGACTCGAGGCTCTCAAGCAGATCTGCCATGGAGAGAAGCAAACTTCTGACGCGTTGATATGAGCTCTCCGAAAGCGGACCTTCCATGACGGAACCGAGGATGTTTCCGATCGAACCGATGTGGTATACGAGAGGAGTACTAATAGCGCGCTGGAAGGTCTTCGGAACTTGGTGAAACGCTGTCAACACCTCGTTGACAACGGAGCATTTCTTATCCAGACCGGTGTCACCTTCCAGGGACAGCAACGCCATGCGCAGAAGTGCAACCGTTGCTTGGATGTTTGCTGCCTGAAAGCCGTATATGTCCTTTTCGGCGATACCGGTCGCCAGACCGAATTCTTTGAAGCGATGGTGCAGACCGCAATGGAGACTGTTCACTCGCTCTTGTAATCGGTGCGTCTCCAAGCTTGAGTGGCAGTCTCCGAATAGATTGAAGCGAGAGTGCCGCGTTCTCAGTTTGCAGAGTACGTGCTCCAATATGCGGTAGAGATCTGTGGTGAAATTCCACCCTTCGATCCAATCTGGATTGCCTGCTGATGAAAATCCAGACTGATCACCTTCAGGATACTCGACTCTTGAGGGAGCCTCCTGGAAATGAACGCAGCGATCCCAAACGAATGACGTGAATACGTCGAGCGTGTAAATGGACCAGTACTATTACAATATTAGCCACGAAAATGTCTGCCAAGCAGATGGGTCAACAAAACTCACCAACCGCCGTCTCTCCTCTTTTTCAACCCTACACAGGCTTGCTGGCCAAGACGACTCTTCATGCCAACCCCATGTTGTGACCATCGTAAAGTAATGGCCAACGTACATGCGCATTACTTTGATCTTGCCATCTTGAAGGCTTGCGAGAGCTAAAAGGGCGCAGGCTCGTAAGGTATCGAAACTTTGACTGTGCGAGAAGTCGGATGGCAAATTATCATGGGCAGCTTCGAACAAAGTTTCTGGCGTTATTGCTGTTGAGTTTCCCAAACGCTCCCTAGGGAAGACCAGCGCGCCATCACGGACGCGAGCTGAGGCCAAGGCGCAGGCAGCCATGATCGTACAGAAGAAATCGCGGTTTCGGGTGTGCTCTTTAGCAGCCATCCGCTCCTCAGCATTCTTCCGATCGAAAAAAGGAAAGCTCTAATTCTTAGCTCAATGATTCCATCAGAATGACAGCCCATCGAGTAGACTCACATAGGGTAGACTGTTTCGAAATAAATTCCGAGCAATTCTTTGATCAGAGTGGTTGACACTGAAGCAAACGCACACCAGGCTGGAGCTAGCGTGCCTGTGGGGAGTTTTCCACGTCCGAGCTCTGTTCTGTCGCGTGATGGCTCAATGACGGAGTCGTGAGACACAGGCTCTGGAGGACCATCACTCTGAGGCTCTTGATCTGAGGGGACAACAGTCGCCGCTATGCTGGAGTTTGCTTCTGTATGCTCGGGATCTGTAGTGGATTTCTGTTCATTTACCGTGCGCCCAACGCGCTCCAATCCGCCCACATTGCCCCTTTTCGATGGGCGGGACAACTGGCATTCAATTCCAAAATCGACGCAGTTCTGACATTGGCTCGGGGCTGCTTCGCTGCTGCGGCACTTGATCCTGCGTCTATGGCAATAGTCACCTGCAATAACCTATCAGCCACATCTACATTGCATATTTCATACGCCTGGGCACCGCCCGAAGTGGAAAAGGGTTCGGCGTACAGGCCTTCGTGGAGCGAAGTTGACGTTTTTGGCGTGGATCAGGCATTGCAAAGGCGCCGGGAAACGTGGGACGAGTATTTAGTTGAGCAAAAGCCGCGAGATTGCCATCCGATAGAGCATAATGGTGATAGATCAGACGGCAGCTGAGCTTGTGAAGAGGAGGTAAAGTGTGGGGGAACTGTATGGATTTGGAGTAGCGCGGCTAAGCCACAGGGGCTGTGCTTTCCATGCAGGAAGTCTCCTGGTGGCTTGGAGTTCTTGTGTTCGTGAAGGGTTGATCGTTGGGTACCTACATGCAACTTACCATGTCAATAGAATGATTACTCTGACTGAAAAGTAGCCAAAGGACCATAGGCTTGACCGTCGCTTGCGGGGACAAAGTCACGTAGCCCCGCTGAAATCGGGCGCATGCAGTCTTTAGGCTGGATCCCATTCCTCCTGGCAGAGCCGCTGTGTCACTTCTCCCCTGGTCGTACTCACATGTTTCGGAGGGATGTAGATCCCATGGCTGCTGACGCATCACCTCTCGTTCCGTAGTCACCAGGCAAGGCTCTGATCTTTCCGTCCCTCCCTCGGGAAGTTTTCCCGTGCTTATCTATCGCCGAGAACCGAAAACAGCCCATCTCGAATCCTTTCTTCTTGTTGATGCCCTGGCCAGACTTTCTAGAGACTGATGTGCAATGTCCGACCCGGGTATTTACACCATTGGTTGGATCTGCGCCATCACGACAGAGTTTGTCGCTGCCAGAGCATTCTTGGATGAACAGCATGACGCCCCACTATCAATCTCGCAGCATGATAATAATAGCTATTCCCTTGGTCGCATGGGAAGGCATAATGTGGCCATCGCAGCTCTGCCCAAGTCCGAATATGGCACCACAGCCGCAGCTACCGTCGCGAGAGATATGGTCCACAGTTTCCCGAATCTCAAGGTTGGGCTTATGGTTGGGATAGGGGGTGGCGCTCCGAGCAAAACCCACGACATTCGCCTTGGTGATATTGTCGTAGGGACTCGCGACATAAACGCAGGTAAAGGAGGCGTGGTGCAGTACGACTATGGCAAGACGATACAAGACCGGGAATTTTCGATGACGGGAAGTTTGAACCAGCCTCCACTGTCATTACTGACGGCAGTCAGCAGCCTTGAAGCCCGGCATACGATGGAGGGCCACGACATCAACGGCAAGATTGAAAGAGTACTAGAGAAGTATCCTCGTTTGAAGAGGAGCCATCGCCGGCCTCCCGTCACCTCCGATAGGCTCTATCTGCCGCACATCACGCATCCTCAGACAGACTTCTCAAACGAGTGCAATGCGGTCTGTGGAGGAGACCAATCTCAAGTGGTAATGCGAGCTGAGAGAGGCGTTGAAGATGACAACCCTGCCGTCCATTATGGCCTCATCGCGTCCGGGAACAGCCTGATGAAGGATGCCAACATAAGGGACCAACTATCGAAACAGACAGGAGCGCTCTGTTTTGAGATGGAGGTAGCCGGTTTGATGAATCATTTTCCCTGTCTACTTATTCGGGGGATCTGCGACTATTCCGATACCCACAAGAACAAGGAATGGCAAGGCTTTGCAGCGATGACGGCAGCGGCTTACACAAGGGATCTTTTGGAGGAAGTCTCAGCTGCGGTTGTCAACAGGGAAGATAACCTTGCAATGGCCATTAAATCTCGTTAGTTTGAAAGTTCCCGGTTTCATCTCTACTGACTATACTGACCCCCCAATAGTGGAAGCTTCGCAAAGCTGGCAAAGGAAATCTATCCAGGAAACAAATCGTACTGCCAGTGATATCAGGACTTCTCAGCGGCACGCCGATCTTCGGAGGTGGTTGTCCCCCCCAAATTCCTCCACAAACGCAGATAGCGCCAGGATTGTCCGACAAGAAGGCACTGGCTCATGGATCTTTGACGAGCCTTCTTTTCAGCTATGGCGGAGCGGTTTTCGCCAACATCTTTGGCTATATGGACTATCTGGATCCGGTAAAACCGTCCTCAGCACCACGATATTCGATCGCCTCAAGAAGGAAGATGTCTGATGCCTCCTACAGTTCTATTTTGATTTCCGAGATCCCAAGAAACGAACGCTAGATGCTATGCTTCGAGGACTGCTCTATCAACTTCATTTATCTACCGGTGGGACTGTTTCTGGCCTCGACGCCTTGTTCTCTGAGTGTTCGGATGATTATAGTCAACCTGCTTTCGAAAAGCTCTCGAGTTGTTTTCATGATATGCTAAGGAGTGTGGAGAGTGCCGTCATAGTGATGGACGCATTAAACGAATGCGTCACACGTTACCCGTTGATTCGTTGGATAAGAGATTTGGTATCTACCAGTGACCTCGGACATGTAAAGATGTTGCTCACTAGTCGACCAGAGTACGAGTTTGAACATGAGCTCGGGGTAGTTCTGGGGCCGGAGAGTTGCGTTCCTCTAAGCAAAACCGCCATCAATTCGGACATTCGGTCGTATGTGGAACAAAGACTTGACCAAGATGCTGGGTTTCAAAAATGGACAACAAACACTGGCATCGTCAAATTAGTGTGTGATCAGATTACAAGCAAGGCGGACGGGATGTAAGTGATCTCCACTACGACCACGGTCTATCCAAGGGACAAATAACTGAACCAGTATTGCAGGTTCAGATGGGCAGCATGCCAACTTGACAGCCTAGAGAACTGTCTTGACCGAGAAGGCATAGAAACAGAGCTTGACTCACTGCCCCGAGATCTCAACGAAACGTACGAACGAATTCTCAACAACATCTCGCAGACGCTGAAATCCAAAGCGAATCGCCTTCTTCAATTCTTGCTGACTCAAAAACACCTCTTACATTGGAAAAGGCCGTGGACATCGTCGCCGTTAGGCGGGAATCCTTCGACATCGCCGACAGAATGCCACGGCCTGAGGAAATACAGCGAATATGCCCCAGCCTTGTGACATCGGTGGTCAATGGAAAGGGGCGACAAAGAACGATTCAACTTCAGCTCGCTCACTCCTCCGTCCAGGAGTTCCTTCTCGGTCATGCAGATGTTGGTTTACAGCCCGCAGCTAGCATCAGTCTCACGCGAACTTGCCTAGCTTACTTGAGGGCATTGCCTTTCACGAAGCTAGTAGAGGAACAGAAATCTTTGACAAAGGCAAGGGAAAGGGGCCACAGTGTATTGGGGAGGAACCCAATTTCAATTTAGGGTTTCATGCAGCAATCAGTTGGATGGACTATGCCAAGAAAGCAGACGAGCAGAAATGCACTGAGCTAAGCACCACAGCTGCGGACTTTTTACCTGATCAATATTGTTATACCGCATGGTATCAGCAGTATTGGCCAGCTGAAAGTGTACAGCATGAAGGCGGCCCGTTGTACTTTGCCTCCAAATATGGCCTCCGAAACCTCGTTAGGGAATTGATTTCTCGAGGTGAAGATGTTAACGCCCACAGCTGGAACGGCCCCCCGATTTTTGCCGCTTCGTCAAGCGGCCACACGTATATTGTGAAATTACTCATTGAGAATGGAGCAGATCCGAATGCCTGAAGCAGCTATTGGGGCCAGACCTCACTCGAGGCGGCCTGCAGAAATGGTTATAAAGCTGTCGCAGACCTTCTCCTGGACTCGGGGGCAGATTGGAGGACCTGGGATCAGCAAGCATATCAATACACTGTGAAGCCAGGAGACAAACAACATGCATGTTCGTCCCGACGCGAAGTAGTGACTACTAGCCTGGTTGGTTCACGTGTTAAGGTTAGCACGCTGCCATTCACGTGGGAGACGCGGACGAGGAAGAGGAAAAGAGAAGAAAAGCCAGCGCTGTACGCAGATGCTTTCAAGGCCAACGATGAAAGCGACATATCAGGGTCTTACTTCAATTTTCAGAGTGTGCTTTATAGGCAGTAGTTTCTAGTTAGATAAGACTTACCTCACGATTAAGCCCTAAATAGTTTTAAACAAGAAGAAAGTTTTGACTCTGGATTATAAGCAGCAGTTCACTGCGTAGTGTGACTGGGAAGGTACTCCTTCGCTGACCAAACAATCTTTGTGATCATTACGTTAATGAAACCGCCCAAAAGTTCTTTTCCCACCTCAATAGAGTATCTCGTTCTCACCTGAGGTGGAGAGTCAACTCTATGCTTGTGAGGAGCTGAGTAGTGGATCTTCCTTACCCACAAGGGGCTTGGGCCATCACCCGGGATGTCTTCTCATTCTTTAGGCACCGGGATTCACCCTCGTTCCTCATTCGCTCGCTCGCATCAAGTCCCAGCCTCAGCTCGATGTTGTCTTATCATTATGATCAGTTGTCATTGACGCCAAGACTTCATCCTGCTCATGAGGGAGATTATTGCCCAAACAGCTTCACAGGTCGCTAGTTAGCATCCACTAGTGTGCGATGTCGGGCTCTCGTCTTGAGCTGCGTCGTGACTCCAGAATCCTTCGAGAACTTTAGATGATGTTCAGGATTTGCCAAGAAACACAGCCAAGAATCAGCTCCCTTTATTCATGATACAGGCCCAAGCGATCAACCAAAATCAAGTATAAGTAGCACCTATATCCTCTAACTATCATTCATCTATCTTCCTCTATCAGTATCAACCCTTCAAACACTCAACCATCCTCCCACACCCGCATTCTTGTCACCTCACCGACCACTTACCCCATACCACCGCCATGCTCTTCTCCAAGACCATCCTCCTCATCGCCGCGGCCATCGTCCCGTCAGTCATGGCAGGCTGCAAAGCCGGGGCCCCTTTCCAAGGCACCTGTCTCAGCTGCACCTCCGACTGCCACGACAGTGAGTTCACCTTCATGACATCAAGCTGAAAAGATGGACCGTATTTCTTACGCTAAAAATTCACAGACTACGGCGGCCCTGACAGGCAATCCGCTCTCCAGCGTTCTGGGTGCATGACCGCTTGCCTCATCATGTGCGACGACTGCTAAGCTGCTCACTTACGCTGATGCAATGCGTGGAGGGCAGTCGCCACAATGCTCGAGTTATTCATAGTCTCGGGGGTGGTGGAGGAGATGTTTAAGAATTGGAGGTTAGAGCGGAAGATGACTTAGCCTGGGAATTCCTGTCAATGAAAAGTCAGATGTAACTTAGACTCCAAGATCATTCCCGTTACAATTGAACCCCAATCGACACATAAGCAAGAGCCAATGCGCATATCAATAAACAATGATCCTAACACCAGACTTGGTTAAGAACATGTGAATTCGGAGCTTCTGCTCAAACTGTCCTCACGACCAGGACCCGGCGAGTTGAAACGAAGCAAATACTTCTCTTCCTCGCCCAGTGTCCCCCAACAAAACGAACCCATCCTACACAAAGCGTACGCCGACTCCAAAAGCCTTCCTCCCAGCGACCGCGCCCTTTCGGCGACCCCTTCTCTCTCATCATGTCAGGTATACTATACAACAATTGGTTCTCGTCATTAATACAGCGGGAAGGATACGAGTTTTCCGTGCTTCTGCAGTGGTCCCCTCTTACTCGATGTCCATACCATCGCTCTCGAGGTTCAGGTCGAGAAGGCGGGCGTATTGGATCGTCAGTCGTTGAAGCTCTCGGAATTTTCCTGTGGTGATGTGTCAGTACACGTGGGTTTGAGACACAATAGTGATAAGACATACCGAGAATCATGACGACGCCCTTCAGCAGCTCCTTCCGGTCCCAGCCGCAAATGTCCTCATCCTTGCTGAACCAACCCCTACCCGTCTCCTTCTCGTCCTTGTCCTTGAGAATGCCGCCAATGAGACTGTTGAGGAGTTCCTCGACCTTGCCGCGGTGGCCCTCGGCACCGATGCGCTTGGCGTACATGAAGAGATACAGACGGAATTCATCCCTCGCATCCAGATGCAGGGCGGCGGCGATGCGGTTTTCGAGATGGGCAATGCTGACCGTCGACTCAAAGCCTTCGAAGCCATCCTTGGAGAGCAGCATCTTAACAATGCGCTGCAAGGTGTATGCGCGGCCCTTGAGCAGGAATTCGTTGGTAGTGTGACGCTCGAGGTACGGGATGATACCGGCAGAGACGTTGGCGGTGTCAGCGTCCTTCGGCTTGGCGGGTGTGACGGGGCCGACGGCGGTTGATTGAAGGGCACTAATAGCGGAGTCGTTGCTGTTCCAATATTGAGAGCCGACAGCCCACCACGCCTCACTGACTCTCTGCCAGCAGTACATGTCACGGGTATAGTAATAGCCATCGCCGTTGGTCAGGGTGACAACGATATGTCCGGCCGAGTTCAACTGCGCCGATGTGATGCCTGGGCCTGGTGTCGTGGAGTTGAGGTTCAGCGTGGTAGTAGCAAGCTCGAGAACGGGGCCAAGAGATACTGGTGGGTGAATGGCTGCTTGCCTCTGCACATCCCAGACGTGACATAATCCGACGGCGTTGATGCACAGTAGATAATTGTGGCGACAGTCTAGGATGACGGGCTGAGACTCCATGATTATTGGGTTCATCAGCCGACGACCGGCGGCTGTCCAGGTGAAGACACTGCCGTCTTCGCAAGCTGCCGCCCAGAAAGTCTTGTTGCCAGTGACCAAGATGACTGCTCTGGGGAGGTAATCCTGCCACAGCAGTGTTCCACGCTTGGTAGCTGAAATGTGAGATGGATCCCTAATCTGAACTGGGTTTCGAGCTTCCAGGATGATGTTCTCCGGTACCTTGGACGCCTCATCGGTGCTACTCTCAGGCAGCAGGACGCCCCGCTCCAGGGGACGTACGATTTGTGCTCTGACCTTGGGAACAGCGAGGCGAATCTGTGCAAAGGCGATTGATGGGTTTAGCACTGCTGGACGGAGGTACTCGGGTGTAGGTACGACTCCATGTAATGCTGGCACGACTGAAGCTGGCTCAGCTCCATCCATACCGTTGAGAACGACTGCCGTGGGACCGGTTGTTGCCTGGCGCTTCGACGCGTGCTCTTCCTCTTCCTCGCCTTCGATCGCCGCTACCTTCCGCTTGTTACCCAGAAGCATGGCGGCAACTCCTCCCTTGGGAAGACCATCAAATGGCCTGTCGAGGTCCAAGATCGTTTGCGGGGC